AGGAACTTGCTGTAAGTTAGTTCATACTTTGAGTTATTTTGAATTCTACTAAGTTGGATTTTTATCATGTTTCTTTAAAAACTCATTTTTCCTTTTTTTACTTTCTCTCATGCATACATGTAATTAACATAGGGGAACATATTGATTGGTTTTCATTAAATTGAATGTGAACAGCAACCCCTCCCCCTTTCCTGATTTTTTTTTTTTTTTTACCTTTTCCAGGAATTAGTTCTGATAAAAGCTAATTGTCTGCATTGAACTGGATTTTTTTTTAACAGGAAAAGGAGAGAGAGGCCTACAAGGCAATGTTTGGTTCCTCCTGGGCCCTGTTTTTACTTTCACTTTCACAGTTTGCCACTGTTGAGAAGACCTACATGTCACTTGGATTTTTAGAACAGAAGAGCTTCTTTACGAGATCAAAAGATGTAATTTATTTTACAGTGATCTATTAAATACTATGTTTAATGGTGAAACATGTAAGACTAAAGAGGTTAAACTTTGAGAAAAAATAAAAATCTACCAGTACTCAACTTTTAATCTCTTTCTAGAGACATGTATGATTGACATCTAGCATATGCAGATACTCATGTAGTAGCAAAAATTTGTAAATATTTTGTAGAAAAATTATGCTTTTCTATAATTTAATGTTAATACTTGTAAAAACGTTATGTATAATATATAAATACTAGTATGACATTTTGAGAATTAAAGTACTAAGATTTTTGTTGATTGCAGACACTTAAGCATTGTTATCAGACCCTGATGCATGATTTTAGACGCGTTGAAGAGGCAGTGAAATCAACGGAGGAACAAGGATTTGGAATGACCAGTAATGCGATCGAATTTGAGAAGTTACTGGCTCATCTCTGTGATCAACTCTGCTTCTTTACACAAGCCAGACAAGAGACAATCAATTTGTATCCTACCTACATGTAGGTTTTATTATGTTTATAATTATACCTTTATTTACCCGAAAGGTCAAGCACATTTTTAGTTTTTAGGTCAACTGGTGACCTATCATTGTCCATTCTCATCATTCACTGTCACCTGCCTGGTGACCTATTACTACCATGGTATTTCCCTCAGTCACTATCTGTGAACTTTAGTACCCTTTTAAACAATTAAACCAATTTTAGAATACTGTGAAATCACTAATTTTTGTGGGGGGTTAATTTTTGTTATTTTCAAGGTATGAAGAGACCCATAAATTCATATCCTCCATGAAATGTTACAAGTATTAAAAATACAAGTAAACTGTACACTTCTTCAGGCAAGAAACCAAGTTCCTACAAACCTGTACTACCCCCCTTTCCCCCAACCATGAAAATTTGACCCTTGAAAATTAGTAAAGAATATCATCTATGGATGAAGATAAAATAGAAATTTCATTCATCCAGTTCCCCTAGGGCCTAAGGGCATCAAAATTTATTTATTCTTTCTTCTTTACTCATGGACACCCAGCATGCAAATTTTTGCATGAGCAGTGAGCTATGAGTCCTTTACCAAATCATGAAATTGGCTCAGGCCTAGGGTGGGGCTAGGTAGTTCTAATGCTTTAAATGCACTTTATTTTTAAAACTCCTCTATTCCTGAACTTCTAGGATACAATAGTCATGCAATGAGTAATATGTACATAGAGTCCTCAGTCTTCATGAATTGTGACATGTCACATGAGTCCAGAATTCTAGTCCGAGGTGGGTCAGTAGGTCATAGCCTGAGAATTTCTCATTTTGTCCTAAAAATCAGTTAACCTTTCTTGAATAAAGTGTTTGGGATTTGAAAAAAGGGGAGGGGGCTACTTCTCATTTATTAAACACCAGTGTAATTGAATGTAATTGAAAAGTAATTGTGAATTACATGCTTTTCTCAAAAGTAATTAATTAAATTACAATTACATGTAATTGAAAATTGGGCCAATTACATATTACTTTCAATTACATCGAAATTTGTAATTAATTACTGTCAATTACCATTACACATTACCATTACCCATCCCTGCTGAGAAAACATCATGGTACCTACTCAGGTGCTTATGGGAATCTTGTTTAAATAAAAGAAAAATCTTCAAGATAACTAAGGATTTGAGATACCCAGTTTAAAATACATACAGAAATAATGAATGGAACTTTGAATTTACTTCAATATGTCCATGATATTGATGACTTTAATATACCAAAGTTACATCTGTATCACAAAAGTTCCTTGACAGGGTGGACTAGCTATGAACAAGTTCACATCATGGGGATGACGAAGCATATCAACTTTGAAGATCTTAACATGGTCGTCAAGGAAATTATAGCAGGACACAACAAGAATTTTCACCATCCAATTTTAGCACCTCTTAAAACTGTATTCGGGTAAGTCAATGAATTTGTTGTTCTTATAGTTCTTCTGTATATTGAGACCTGAGTTGATATTTCAGAATTGAATTTATAAATACCAGTTATAGGTCAAGTTAAAGGGTTCTGAAAGCCACCTCAATGCTTTTATAATTATTTATTTTACTGTATTTCATCCTAAACATTTTTAAAAATATTTGCAAAACCAAATTGTGTTTGAATGACTGCTAGCACACTGTGAGGCCTAGAATTGTCAAAGTTTATCTGTTCAGTTGATGTGTCTTTGGGAACGGTGCATCCTTTTGTCATGATGATTCCATGATGAGAGTTTCATGTGTCCTCCTTATTAAATGTTCAAGATATTATACAGGTAAAAAGTTATCATTCTATAAAATCAACATACATGTATTTGTAGATTTGAGTGTGATATATTAAACCATTTACTGGTTGCCCAAACCATGATGTCTGACTGGAAATTCCTGACCGCCCTGTTACATATTCATGAAGCCCATACAAAACTGACCAGCTGGGCGACATTAATCCACCCAAAGGAAGTACGTATATGTCTGTATAACCACTCAGGAGAAAACTATTCAAAATGGCTACTGTCATTTACCCTAAGGAGTTGAGTATACTGCTACTATAATCACTAACAACAAAGTACAATGTGTGTAATTAAATTCCAATATCTGCAAGGTATATTTAGTTAAAATTGTTAATTTTTATAATCATAACATAAAAGAACCATAACAGTTTGATTTCATATAATCACTTGTTTATTAACAGAGTAAGAAATCTACCTTTGGAAGCTCTAGTAAACATGGTTCCTTGCCTGCTATGTATCAGTGGCTGAGTAAATTCAAAAACCTGCTGCTTTCTAAAGTGAGTCAACTTCCTACAATTTCTAGAACTCTGTCTAAAAATAACTTGTTTATTTTCTAAGGCATTGTTTTAATATCTTATTTACAATTTCACCACAATTCTTGATAACTTTGTTAGTATAACCCTGCTATTGTTTCAGTTTAGTATCTACTTTTATGACATCTTACAAAGGCAGGCCTCACCCCCAGAGATGAAATCTTTGATAAGTAAAACTCCTGATGATTTTGTCACAAGGTAATAAAAAGGATAAGATCACGATAATAATTGATATTTCATTAATGAATTAAATAATAAATGTTCAGTTCTCAAGAATAGAGATGAATGATGATTCTAAAATCAAATACTCAGCTGTAATTTCATTGCAGTTGTGTTTTCACTATTTTCTTGGCAGAATGAGATTGTGATGATACTGTACTGTAACAAACATATAAGGATACAGTATATAATTAAAATATAGAGTAAAACTAACAGATATCAGTGGGTTCAAAGCATAGCAAGAAGAGATTCTGTTTCAAAAACAGGAAAACTGACACATTTAAGATGTATATTTTATATTGAACTCGAATATAATGTTTATTGATGACAATGAATCCTGATAGAATACAGACATTCCATAAGAAGTCTGATGCCTGTCATGTCTCCCTGGTGTTGAACACTCAGGGTCTTGAGCGAGTGTTCCCCGGGGGGTATCAGTACCCAGGGAGACTGGTGGAAACACCCCAGGGACTGGAAACTTTTCCTGCCATTTTCTCCTACCCAGGGGTATGTCTAGTTTTACTTCAAATTCTTAAAATTGTAGTAATTTTCAGACCTAGTAAGGATATCCGTATGCATAATTCATAATTTTCCTTGTAATATTTTTTTGCAACCAACATTTACATGTATTACTATACATTTTAAGATACAGATGAATCTCAATATAAAGATTTTTGGTGATATTTTATTTTGGGCACTTTGTTCATACCTGTATTAACTATACATTTATTGTGATATTGTATGACCATTTATATAAGTACTAGGACATTGCCATTCAGAAAGTGACATAATCACACCTCTGAAATATATTACTGATCTCTGTATTTAAGGATAGACCTGCCAATCATTTTCCTGCAGTGGTGATGATGTTGACGGAGGGGCGGGACAGGGAGGAACCATCCTTGTACGCCCAGGACAAGATACACTACATGTACGACAAGGGATCTCACTCTTCCTACTTCTATACACAGGTGGACACAAGGATCAGTCTGGTCGTTATATTCGAGAGCAAAAAATCGGAGAAAGATTCCTACGTGAATAACTTTATGACTGAATTAGCCACTCACTTAAGATGTACAAAATTCTTTACTTCCTTAAAACCGGGATTTAAGTGAAATATTGTAAAAGTTTTTTTTGGTCATTTTTTTTTTATGCCAAAATACTTTTCACAATAAAAAGGTGCAATATTTGTCACGTGAAAAATAAATACGTGAGTATCATTTGAATGAGTTTTCTTGTTTTATGACACCAGCAAACTCAGAACAAAGACGCAGATAATTAATTTCTCAGCTCTGAATAAATGCTGTTTGTCCTTGTGTTTTCCAGTTCCATTCAGTTCAATTTATTCTCTCACACAATTAATTTAATGGTAACATGAGGTATGTAAACTGATAATTTACAATGTTTAACGTGTAGATAATATACGATTGATATATACATGTATATATGTATCGGGTAACAGTAAAAATATTGTTTTACTTGTAAAAGTATCAATGGAATTTACTAGAAAGATCAATTACAATGTTACACGAATGTACTCTTTATATCTAGATTCAATCCACAAAAAAAGCAACAAATGACAAGCTAATAGATGGAACAAGAAGGATACACAAAATACATTATCACTGTCATGAAACATGGACAATATACATTTTATTATTACTAATTAATTAAAGGGAAAGGATTCAACTTGCTTCCAAATCCTTAAGTGTCTCTTGTTAAAATATATTCACGTTAAACAGAGTTACACTACATGTAATTATAATTAAAAAATACACTTTCAAGAAAAACGAAAATTGTTTAACATGTAAAACTGAGCATCTGAGAACTATAAATTAACGTCCTTGTATGAAACTTCCGGTTCCTGTGATGTCTGGAGAACCTGTCGTCCTAGCAACTTTACAGTCTCGTCATCTCCTCGTCTGCGACAACACAGATATATCATATTGATGGACACCAGTAGAACCATTAATGCGAACCACTGAAAAAAAAAAATAGATCACCCAGCATGAGGATAGAAAAGGGATGTTAATAATTCATATTTCTGGTATTTAAAGGGGATTTGATAACCACCCCTTAAAAGGTAAACATTTTGTAACATAGTTTTCTAGTAATAAAATAACCGAAGATTTGTACCTGTACCACGGTGATGACGAGGGTTTCCCTCCCGAATTCGTACCATTTTTCCCCGTCCCCTGAATCTCCGTCAATCAGATCATACGCCCACCATCCGATAATAAACAGTGCTTCTAAAGGGGCGATTATTCTAAAAATAATACATATACTAGGCAATGTATTGAAGGGATTCAGTTTCAATAATATGGAAAGTCTATAACTACTGGTAGTAAAGGGCTCCACTCTGGTAATTGCCTCTGCCAACCTGTACGGTTGCCTTTTTGCCTCGTTGCACATTATATTATTGTCAAGGTTAGACTATAGTGAAGGCCCTGACAACTGATACATCTATTACACTAGGGTATGATCAAATACATGTACTATAATACTGACAGCTCTGTTAGTGTAACCAAAAAAACAAGAATTACATATGTGAAGTATGAAAGCCCTAGCTCTAACCGTTCAAAAGTTAAGGCCAAGGTTAAAGTTTTTCAAAAGTAGGTCAAACTCCAAGGTCAAGGTCAAAGGGTCAAAGAGGTTGATATCCAGAGGAAGGTCTTGTCACAAGGAATACACACGTAAAGTTTGAAACCCCAAGCACCAACTGTTCAAACGTTTGGCCAAGGTTAAAGTTTTTCAAAAGTAGGTCAAACTCCAAGGTCAAAAGGTCAAAGTTGTTGGTATCCAAAGGAAGGTCTTGTCACAAAGAATACAAATGTGAAGTTTGAAACCCCAAGCACCAACCGTTCAGAAGTTTTGGCCAAGGTTAAAGTCTCATAAAATTTTGCAAAAGTGGGTCAAACTCCAAGGTCAAGGTCAAAAGGTCAAATATGATGGTACCCAAAGAAACGTCTTGTCAAAAGGAATACAGATGTGAAATATGAAAGTCATAGCTCAACCAATCAAAAGTTATGGGCAAGGTTAAAGTTGACAACAGACAGACAGACAAACAGATAAACAGACAAACAGACAGACAGGACAAAAACAGTATACCCCCGGGATCTTTCGATCCGGGGGCATAAAAATGTAGAAAATAAATTCTATCTTACTTGACCACCCATTCCCACACACGTGGAAGTTTCCAGTCCCCAATACTGTAGCTGTTAAACATATTTTGTCGAAACTTTCTGGTTCCATATATAATCACCATTAATTGCAGAAAGAAACCATTGATGACAAGTGCAAATCCCCAGACAAAATCCTATGGGAATGAAAACAAGAGTATTCGAATCGTTTGTATCGTCAAACTGATAGGTCTGCACATGCGCAAGACTATGTAAACTCCTTACCTGATTAGTTAGAATATCTAAGTTGAGGGCTGAAGCTAGTCCTCCCAGGAAGGTTAATGTTACCGTACAGGGCATTCCGAATTTCCTCGGAACTGAAAGACCAAACAGAAAACAAAAGATTGTCCTTTGATCAGGAACGTGCATGAGGTTTTTGAAATTCTCTCTAAATTCAATTTGTTTATTTGTGTTTTACCCCCAAAGTCGTATAAGGTATGTGTGACCATTTCCATGTTTGCTACCAGAGAAGTGATGCCAGCCATAGACAGACAAGCGAAGAACAACACAGAGAGAACTCGACCAAACACGCCGATCGTAGAAAACAAAACAGGGATCCTTATCACAGAAATGTTAGTTTAATTTCATAGAATTCAATTTTCTGAGAAAAGAAAATTTAGTAGATGCAATTGTTTAAGATTCCGATTTTATTTCTATCACAAATTCACAACCTCTCCAATTTTAACAACGACTTGTTTGATAAGGGAGGTGCTTTTTATTTATGATTAAATTGGAATATCACAATCCTGTCAAAGTTTATTTTTTCCAAGACAACGTTCTACAATGTAGTATCATTGACAACATTGTCAATTTGTTGCATTGACATTGACTCACCATATGAAGGTCAAACCAGTGCTTCCCGGTCCGGATCGCTTCATTATATCCAGAATTCCAGGTTTGGATATGTTAGGATCCAAAGCAATCATTGTAGAAAACACTGTGGCGAAAAGCATAATCCCGCAAATTAAGCTGAAAACGAGAAAGTATAATATCATCATAACTCAAGTTTCTCAAATTTTAATAGAAAATAAAATGTCACGTGGGAGAAAATGAACCAATGAGGATAGTAAGACAGCATTCTAAATTGAGCATTTGCCAAACTGATCGTTGATGACATATACAGCAAAAGGTCTGGGTAAATCAAGTCACCCTAGTTGGAAAACACTTTGTATTTAGTTTAGTTTAGTTTCTAATACTCGTATATTTGACAATTCATAAAAATTTATTTTCCGAGAGAATTTTCTTCACGAACAATGTAAATTTTGATACAAGTAGTGATACTATGACCCCGTGTGAGGAGTTTTGAATGACTTCTTATTAACAGAGAATACTTCAAATGAAGTCAATATCAGTTATTTCAGAGAAGTTTTGTTTCAAATGACTCCATCCCCATTTTTAAGCCCCCCTATGCAAAATGGTATAAATGAGATGGTTGATAACATAGCCTTTATCTGATGAGATTGTTTAACATTGCATTTATCATAAGAGTTTGTTTAACATGGCCCTTATCACATAAGATTGCTTAACAAGGCCCTTATAACATTAGATTGTTTAACATGGCCCTTATCACATGAGATTGTTTAACATGGCCTTTATCACATGAGATTGTTTAACACGACTCTTATCACATGAGATTGTTTAATACGGCCCTTATCACATGAAATTGTTTAACATGGCCCTTATCACATGAGATTGTTTAACATGGCCCTTATCATATGAGGTTGTTTAATACGACTCTAATCACATGAGATTTTTCAGGACTCTTATCATATGACATTGTTTAACACGACTCTTATCTGATGAGTTTATTTAACATTGCCCCTTATCTGATGAGATTGTTTATCATTGTCCTTATCTGATGAGATTGTTTAACATTGCCCCTTATCTGATGAGTTTATTTTACATTGGCCTTTATCTGATGAGTTTATTTTACATTGCCCTTTAACTGATGAGTTTATTTTACATTGCCCCTTATCTGATGAGATTGTTTATCATTGTCCTTATCTGATGAGATTGTTTAACATTGCCCCTTATCTGATGAGTTTATTTTACATTGCCCTTTATCTGATGAGTTTATTTTACATTGCCCTTTATCTGATGAGTTTATTTTACATTGCCCCTTATCTGATGAGTTTATTTTACATTGCCCTTTATCTGATGAGTTTATTTTACATTGCCCCTTATCTGATGAGTTTGTTTTACATTGCCCCTTATCTGATGAGATTGTTTAACATTGCCCTTTATCTGATGAGTTTATTTTACATTGCCCCTTATCTGATGAGATTGTTTTACATTGCCCCTTATCTGATGAGTTTATTTTACATTGCCCCTTTATCTGATGAGTTTATTTTACATTGCCCCTTATCTGATGAGTTTATTTTACATTGCCCCTTATCTGATGAGTTTATTTTACATAGCCCCTTATCTGATGAGTTTGTTTTACATTGCCCCTTATCTGATGAGTTTATTTTACATTGCCCCTTATCTGATGAGTTTATTTTACATTGCCCTTTATCTGATGAGTTTATTTTACATTGCCCCTTATCTGATGAGTTTATTTTACATTGCCCTTTATCTGATGAGTTTGTTTTACATTGCCCCTTATCTGATGAGTTTGTTTTACATTGCCCTTTATCTGATGAGTTTATTTTACATTGCCCTTTATCTGATGAGTTTATTTTACATTGCCCTTTATCTGATGAGTTTATTTTACATTGCCCTTTATCTGATGAGTTTGTTTATCATGGTCCTTAATGTGATTAGACTGTTTTACACTGTCCTTTACCTGATGAGACTGATCGCTTGACGTCTTATAAAATTGATCACATGACCCTTTATCTTATAAAATTGATCACATGACCCTTTATCTTATAAAATTCTGGCCTTTTATGTGATGAGATTGCTCACATGGTTCTTTACCTGATGAGGTTGTTGATAGACGGAATAAACAGTCCGTATTTGACAATACTGTTGTCCACCGTCATAAAAGAAGCATACGGTATCATTAGCCCCATCCCTGCTCCAGTGTCAAACGCATTCTGACTCAGGGCGTCTACCCATAGCCGGGGCTCACCGAATGATTCTTAAACAGAGAAAGAACACATGAACAAGAGAAACCAGGGACTCTTGGGCATATATTAAATAGCAATAAGATATCATTTACAAGCACGGTTACAAAGATGTATATATTTTCTTTTAAAAGAATACTGTTGCAGTGAGCACAATTAAACAACACCCTAAGAATTTTCTACTTGCTTAGCTCTTTTGAATTATTACCCCAATGAGGTGTGAAGAGAAATTTGATGCCGATGTCAGCGTAATCCCTGGTTAGAGACCAAACAAAAGTAAACAGAATGATCAGTAACAGGAGAGGAACTAAGAACATGTTTGTTTTCTCTATTGTATTCACTCCCTTCACCACTGCCAGTCCAGCCAGGAGTGAAGCTAGCGCATGCGTGAGAACTGGCCAATAGCTGTCCTGTTTAAAAATAAAATACGAAAAGTATAGTTTGAAAGGTGAGCGATTTCACTATTGCAAAATACTAAATTCAGCGAAAACTTCTCTTCAAATCACCTCTGCAAAATCCTTGAATATTGTTTCGCCTGCTTCAGCTGTTTCCGGAAGATCGTTTGCAATCATATAAACGAAGTAGTACAAACACCATCCTAACACTACCGAGTAGTAGCATCTAAAAATAGCAACACAAATTTAGGAGGGGGGGTCTAAAAATTAATTAAGCCTTTTAACATGCTTCAAGGTAAACAGAAAGTTTTGAAATCTAAAAGGATTTTTTAATTCAATGCCTTTTTAAAATTTATTTACAATTTTGTAAATGATAATATTCCACAGTTTCTTGGCGATAAAATATGATATTACTGACTCCCCATCTTTATTCCATCAAAAAGTCGAGCAGCTCTGATAAAAAGCCCTTGTATTCTGATACTGAGCAGATGACGCTGGTATATCATGTACAGATTAAACGGAAATATTTAAAATATAATTTACAATAGATATTTATTATGTAATGAAAATAATGTAACCATATGAGTTTAAAAAATTTAGCTTTGCTTCAAATCTCATGAAAGGTGCATACTATTTATCATATAATGCCAAATAAATACGATCTATGCAATTAGTATGCATAAAGCTTGATATAAAATCATTAGATATTTAAATATATTCTAGAATTTACAACTAACGATATTAGAAAAGTAACCATGGAGATCCATGCGCCACACCAGGCGGCGCCCTCTCCCAGAATAGCTCGGAATGAACCAATCACGGCTCTTCTTGTATAGCGTCCTGTTCCATACTCAATCAGCAGCATAGGGCTGGACCAGAGAACCAAAAACAGGACCCATGCTAATAGGAAAACCAAACCACCTGAAATGCGGCAAAAATATACACGTTTAATAATATCTGTTTCAGGATAATTTTTGCCGTTTATATGCAGTAATCATCATTTATATACCTTTCTCCTCGCTATTGGAAGCAAGTATCCTGGGAAACCTCCATATATTCCCCGTACCAACCACAGAACCGAGACAGGAGCAGATCAGACCGAGGCGGTTATGGAAATGTGGACGCTCCTCGATCCTCAACTACATATTGGTATTAAGGGTTAATTTTACTAATTATTTCGATAATTTTGAGAGAAAGACTTACACTATATAGGCGATTTTCTCATTATCGGAGGGAAAGATGGTACTTCACTAAGTTTTAATGATGAATGTCATAATTCAGTGAATTCAGTCCTCTACAAAACTTTTCATTTTACATGTACAAGTTATCATTCATAATTGTAGTCAAATTGTTATGATAAAGAAAACACACTTTGAATCCAAATTATTCTCCTTTCTTGTAAATGTTTGTCAGTGCACGGCAATAAAGTGTTTGTAGGACATCAGGAAGACTATTGTCTTCAAAGTGTAAATTTCAGTTTTTGACATCAAGGTGTGTGCATTGATTTCAGATTATTACTTTTTATGAATATGATATAATTTATTTATGGTTTTATTATTAGAATATCGAAACAAGAAATATATCATAAAACTATTGCTATAGTATATTTCTTGGTAAAGCTTCAGAATCTTACCGCATCACCCATAACTGTTGTTTTGGTTTGATTATCCCACCATGTTTGTTGTGTAAATTTATCACTTACATGAAATAAGGACCGCCATATCACGAGTATGCACCCGATAACGAATACATGCACTGCGGGTCATATGATGTACCGTATCAAATACTGTTCATATAACTGTATGATAAAGATATAATATTAGACTAACTCCTTCTAGTACATGCACACCTATCCCTTATATATATTCGATGCACCCATGGTAATTTTCATTCCTTCTATGACACATTTTGTTTGGACCATTCTGTTCTGAAGAGTCTGTTCTCTCATTAGTGGATCCTGATCTTGCCATTGATTTATCTTCCCTCTGTGCCTTTGGTATATGTATATATGTAATATTTAACAAAAGGAAATTCTAATAATATAAATAACCTATGTAAGTTTAAAATGTGGCGATGTTTTTTCACCTGAGTCGCTCCCTTCTTTTCTAAAATGGCTTTGTCGCTTTCAAACAATTTTGATAAGTAGCATCAATAGACGACTGGGCATGTATCATCAATACAAGCAAATTCAAAGAATTGTGGTCCCCCGCTTTCGGTGTCTTTGTGGATGCGATGCAATTATTTATGGCATATTGTAACTTTTCCAACTTTAAAGTTAGTAATTCCAACTTTAATCATTATGGCTTTTCCAACTTGAAAGTTGGAAATTCCAACTTTAATCTTGGCTTTTCCTACTTTAATTTGAGCTCTTCTAGTCCTTTTCTTAGCTTTTTTCCTTTATTTTAAATTTTTACCAACTTTATTAATGCACAATTAATACACTGAAATAGAATGGTGAGCAATTAATCTGTGTCAATTATTTTTTTTACCTTGACCTTCCCTATGACCTTACATATAACTTTCAACTTTTAATTAAAAAATCCTTATATTTCTTTTGGTTCATGTTATATAATTATATAGAGGTAAACTTCATACATCTCCGTACATGACAGGATTTCAACCAAACCTATTTAAAGCAATATGAGCTGCAACGTTGATGTCAGAAATTTTTGTGGAAAAATTGTAATTAACTATTTCATCGACAGAAAAAAGAACGTTTATAAATTTTTGTTGTTCATATTTGCGATGGAAGACCTATTTATAAGCTTGATTGAAGCAAAATTACATTATTGTCGTCCTGTACAATATTGATTTCTTATATAATACTATATATTTGATTGTACAGAATCTTGATTCCGAAACAATTTGATACTTTATCAAAAAAGTTTAAATTACACACAAATTTATCATAATAACATTTTAACAGCAAAAATGCAGCACATATTGCTTTAAGAAATCAATCATGTATTTTGTTTTGTGCGAGAGGATAAGCTTAAACAAATGAGACCATCATGAGGTGATTTGATATACCGGTATATGGGATGAATCAACACTATATTACATGCTACAAATACAAAAGAACTAAATGTATCAATTCTGCATAAGAAAACACTATGAAATAATTCCTTCTTTCATCATAATTTCATAATTAAATCGTTTCCTTCCATTGTAATTACATGTATAAAACAGCAACACGAGTCCAGCTACAAAGTGTCTGAATATAACGCATAAAGCCGTACAAGGATGGAAAAGCCAAGATTTAAGTTGAAATTACCAACCTTAAAGTTGGAAAAGCCAAGATTAAAGTTGGAATTACCAACTTTAAAGTTGGTAATTTCCACCTTTAAAGTTTGAATTACCAACTTACCAACTTTAAAGTTGGAAAAGTCATGATAAAAGTTGGAATTACCAACTTTAAAGTTGGAAAAGCCTACTTTAAAGTTAGAATTACCAACTTTAAAGTTGGAATTTTCAACTTTAAAGTTGAAACTTCCAACTTTAAAGTTGGAATTTCCGCCTTTAAAAAAATATTACGTGGCACTAATACGCTTCCGTAAGTCTGGGAAAACTGCTGTAGATAAACAGTACCATGTCAATTTTGTTTTTTCATTTGAAGACACATATGATCTGAAGTTTCGTGTTTTGTTCTTTAACCTGTACGTAAATGTACAAAAAGTAACAGTTTTACTTGGGTCTTATAATACCAAGACTATAGAGATCAGTTATTTCTAAAATTATAAAAAATACCGTCCTAGCTATTCTTATCTACCTTCCTGAATCTTTCCAATAAGCTCGAAAAACCGCAGCAACCTCAGATGAGCCTGCCGGTGTCGCATAATATTTGGTCCGCCTCGTTTAAAGGTCCGGGGGGACCTAATACGATAACATATAAGGTCCGGCCTGCCTCTATAATAAAAGGTCCGCCTTCGGTTTTATATGCAGATTTTTCTCCTTTATTGATTCGAAATTAATTTGCTTTATTAATCTTTTTAAATTATTTAAGGTATAGTTGTTATAAAAGTGTCCCTCTCAGCAAAATGGAGTTCCAGGGACCTACATGTATATACATTGTATATATACTATAGAAGGATCAAGTCTTGCGATATCTCGCTAGTTGCTGGATTTCGTTAGCCAATTTTAATTAATTATATTTCTAATACTATGATATATCTCAGTACAAAACCTCAAATTATCTATCAAAAAATTATTCAAAATTTGATGTTAGCACTGATTAACTGTTAGCTCCTTATCGTAGTACATACCTCCCTAATTCATTTCGGATTTTTTTTTTTAAATATTGTTTATTTCATTCCCTACATTTTGTAGTTTTCATTTCTGACGTTTATAAATTTTCATCTCTGACATTTATCATCATAAAGTACTTTTCCGGCAATGAAAACAGAATTGAAATTTCCCTTATAAAAAAATTAAAGAATAAATCAAGAATAATTCATTGATTTCCAAATAATAAGTTCTGCTTATATTTAAAAGAATCTTATGACGATTTTATCCTCGGACACATGTAAGTGTAAGTTGTGAATTTTTGTTCATCTTTTCAAATCAAGATAATCAGACTGAATTTGAGATCAGAAAGGTTTAGATAGAATTTATGACATACAGAAACTATGTTTGACGGAATAAAGTAATCAAAGTAGAGGAGATTCTGTTTTTCGGTGCTTTCAAACACATATAATTCAGTGGGCATTAAAATTTGGTGATCAAAAATTGCATGTTTTATTATTGAAATTATTGCATTTTATTACTAAACTTTGTATTTTTACTAGACTTAGTGTTGATTGTATTGTAAAATGAAAACAAAAAATGTCGGAAATGCAATGCAAAATTTCGGAAACGACATGCAGCGAGCTTGGAAGAAACAACCCCGGCTTTATTATCCACCATAGGAAATACTCAGTACGCTTCAGTACAGAATTTTCTCCTTTTCCACCTTCTTACTAGGGAGAATCTTATCCACCCATACTATTTACAGAGGGGTTTTACAGAGCAACTTGACATGTATTTCCCCCTAAAATAAAAAGGAGTGTCTGTTGAGATCGTGACTGATATAAAAATTCATAAAACACCACCAAGTCGTGTTCTTTTGTTAATATTTTTTATATTTATTTTGATTTTGGTTTAAATAAGATTTTCTACGACTTTAAGCGGCTATTTCTTTTTTATTTATGTGTGTGTGATGGGGGGGGGGGGGGGGGTTAATAGTTCTCTTGTTGCACGTCATCAACATTACTAATTAAATAATAATATATATCCTTGGTCCCTTCAGACAGATGTTTATGGTTGCATATAGACATACAATACAGTAGACACATCTCCTGCAAACGTACATAGAGTGGATAATTAATTGACATTAAAGTTTTGTCTTTTTGTCAGCATATTAAATGAAAAAAGTACACTACTACATGTAGTATATATGCAATTCTTATGCACAATTAGGCCATTCCAAGAGTTTTCTAAGTTAATTTAGCGTCCATTCTAAAATTAAAAACCTAATTATCTTTTTACCCTGGAAAAACACAGGAACCAACAAAGAAAAAAAACAATAGGAACTTACAGCATTTCCATAATTTTTTTCTTTGTAAGTGAGATACATGTATGTGGGAAAAAAGAAAAACAGAGGGCGGACTTTTATTATACTGCGTTTTAAGGTCCGCCCTGCCATTTTAACGATTTTTTTTACGCTACGATAACTTTAATAAACTCTGTTCAAAATACTCGCCTTGTAATAGTAAGATATCTGAAATAAAGAGGGCGGACCTTTTATTATACTGCGTTTTAAGGTCCGACCTGTCTCTTTCTCTAGTTTGTATGCTACGAAAATAAACCCTATGCAAAATTTTCACCTTGTTATAGTAAGATATCTGAAATATAGAGGGCGGACCTTTTATTATATTGCGTTTTAAGGTCCGCCCTATCTCTAGTTTGTATGCTACGAAAATAAACCCTGTTCAAAATTTTCGCCTTGTAATAGTAAGATATCTGAAATAAAGAGGGCGGACCTTTTATTATATTGCGTTTTAAGGTCCGCCCTGTCTCTTTCTCTAATTTTTATGCTACGAAAATAAACCCTGTTCAAAATTTTCGCCTTATAATAGTAAGATATCTGAAATATAGAGGTCGA